ATCCGATTTCCCAACACAAGTTTCAATTTCAAAGTTTCATATCATAAATGTACCACGTTGCTGGTTAAAAAAATATTAATTGCACTTGTTCAGGTATGGGAATCCCAAACAACTAGAGATATTTTTGTTAATTTGACCCTACTTAAGGGCCGCCTGCTTAATTACAATAGAACCTTTGGTTGATTCTGGTTAAAAAAAACAAAACAAGAATTTTCAATGAAAAAAATGAGCTTCGTATTACAGATCCTGAACAACTAAAGGTATCTTCACCATTTGGTACTTCCATGATACTGAAGTATTATCGTAATTTGGCTTTGGCATATGCAAAACTATACAATAAGGCTATTTATTTTTAGGAAATGAATACGTTGACATAATATATTTTTTATGCAAGGAGGTCACAATCATCATTGGCTATTTAAAATCAAGTGGTTGAAGAATTGTTATTGGTTGGGCACAAAGTTTAAAATAAAAATTTTCGAATATTGTGAAACATTGTCATGTTTTAGATTTCATATCCAATGGTTAAAGTGATTGCGACCTCCTTGTATTAAAAATAAATGGTCTCATAGTACACAATATCTTAAAAAACACAAGGAGGTCACAATTACTATTGATTATTCGATGTGAAGTTGGGTTGCTAGGGATGTGTGATTTATTAGAACAAAAAATCAAAATAAAATTTCTTGAACTATATGATACACGCAAGCTATCAGATTCCTCTTCTGATGGTTAGGAGTGATTTTAATCCCTTGTACTAAAGTAAATGGTCTTATTCAGTGTTTAAAAACGAGGATCGGAAACTTGAATCGGTCATACTCATACCTGTATCGGATGGGGAATCGGTGGTTCGGTTCAAAGAGTCGGCAGAATCGGCAATTTCTGTCCCAAAAGTTTTTCAAAAAATCATTATAAGTCTCTAAAAAAACTTGTTCTTTTAGTTCTAAAATAAATTAGGAATGGTGCATTTTGTACTTTTATTACTTTGTAAAAATAGGTGAATATTGATACGATGTTTTTCTGTCTGGATATCTGTATAATTATTAATCATAATATATAGTATTATAATATTGCATCAAAATAATTTAAAAATATGAAAAAATACTTCCATATTATAAGATTAAAAAGAAAAGTTTTTATATAAAGTGAAATTAGTATCACATCAAAGTATCAAACATTTATTAATTCGCTTACTCATCCAAAATTATCACAACCTAATTAACTATAATATTATATAGTGAAATTACAAGTTTTTATTTGTATTTTAAGAACAAATCTAAAATGTTTTATAATACCATCCAATTTAAAAAAATTATTTATAAGAAAAAATAACACATTACATAATTTATAATAAAAATAAATTAATAAATAAAATATTTGGTTATCAATGTATAATTATTAACCATAATATTGTAATAGACACTTTTTGTTTTCACTAAAAATTTCTATAATTAGTATTTTTTAAGTTGTTACATATTGAAATTGAAATTGAAATTTTTAGTTTATATTTTATAATTATTTTACTATATAAATTAGAATAAATTTAAATTTTTCTTATAATATCATCTAATTAAAAAACATTATTTACATCAATAGCAAAAAAATAATACATTGTGTAATGTATAATACAAATAAATTAATAAATAGGATACAAGAGAGATTGTTAATGAAGTGGAGTTTAGAGAGAGAAGCCAAGGCGAGAGAGAAAAAGAAAAGGAGGGGAGGGGGTTGTCGGGTAAAATTATTAAGCCTAGAGAGAGGGAGAGAAGGCGAGTGAGAGACCAGGATTTGGGGCAAAATTTGCAAAGGTGAATGGTTAATCCCACATCGGATAGAGGGTGAAGTTTTCGTCTCTATAAAATCTGTAATAGTAAGAGAGCAGGAGGGAGATGGCTTATGTGGTGGCGTCTTTGATTTAGTGAGTCTACGTGGTAATTTGAGATCAGAAATTCCATATGTTGTTGTTTAAAGTCTTCGGTCAAGATAAGAAATAGCTTACGTTGGATTGATACCCGCGGAGGTAAAAATCCCTTGTTTTTCTCGTAATATGGGATGTTTAATGCCTTTGGTCAAGATAAGAAATGGCTTACGTTGGATTGATGCCCGCGGAGGTAAAATCCCTTGTTTTTCTCGTAATATGGGATGTTTGATGCCTTTGGTCAAGATAAGAAATGGCTTACGTTGGATTGATGCCCGCGGAGGTAAAAATCCCTTGTTTTTCTCGTAATATGGGATGTTTAATGCCTTTGGTCAAGATAAGAAATGGCTTACGTTGGATTGATGCCCTCGGAGGTAAAAATCCCTTGTTTTTCTCGTAATCTGGGATGTTTAATGCCTTTGGTCAAGATAAGAATACCTTATGGTGGATTATAATGCCCTTGGTTAAAATATCTTATTTTTCTGGGATCCCATTTTATTACTAGATCTGCATAGTCCTATTTTTCATATACTTTAGAATCCCATTTGATTAGTGGATCTGTGACGGTCCCAATTAATTTTTATCCTGACCACCCAATTTCAAATCAAAACCAAATTTTTTAAAGAGCAAAACTCTTCATTTTTTATCCGGATCTCTAATTCCATATCAAGACCAAGTTTTTTAAATAGCAAAACTCTTCATTTGATCATCTCAACATTGAAATATATATACACGATAAATAATTAAATCCTAAAAATAGTACATTGAAATATATATACATGAAAAAGATTAAATCCTATAAATAGTACATATACATTATCTAAAGGAAAATGATTTCACATGGTTGCAGCAGGCCTACTATAAAAACATGGGCTGCAACCTTCTTAACAGTCTAGTAATTGGACGGTGATGACTCATGGTAGTAGCCAGTGTAGTAACCGGGTCAGATCGTACGAAACCTGTAGACATTATCTAAATCAGCGTTTAAAAAATCGCCGAGTCGAACCGGACTCGCCCTGTTCGACTCGGAATTCACGAAAAAGGTACCGGATCGGTTCAAAAAACGGGAATCGTCCGGTTCTAGAGAGAACCGGACGATTCCGTACAGTGACTCGCCGATTCACTGTGCGGAATCGGCGAGTCGG